ACAAATCGTTAGCCCCTTAACTGTACCGCTATTACACGGAACACCTGTTCGTATGTTTTACTCCATTATAAATATATTAATTTAAAATCATGAATGGCTATAGGGGTGGGGGTTTGGCAGACAAAAATCTATTTAGACACAACCACACACTGTAGGTATTCAAAATCATCAGGGCTCATATCTGATTAGTATATCTGTAGGCGAAAGTATAGACTAATTAACTAATAATTTAGTGAAAGGGGGAATACATTTAGGTTTGTCTTTATACATTATATCTACTTAGCACTGGTACCCCCGACAGATACACAAATATGTATCGATTTTTTGTGCGTTAATTGTATTTCAATTTCTAATTACATTTTTCGCAATCAATAATGCATTCATTCATGTGTTTTGTATGTTTTTTTAAATGAATTTCTATCAGAAACCCTACGATATTACGGCTTAAGGATGAATGCCTACGAAAGGTCAGAAGTAAGCCATTACCCGGAGGTCTGGTATCTGGGACTGGAGGCCAACAAAATCGATGGCGACGAGAGTGCCCTACAAAACCATGGCTACGACGACGACAATGGGTCCTACATTAAGGTGAGACACAAACAACATAACAAATTTTTATCATAGCTAATAAATATAGATTAATATAGATATGTAGTGTAATGGCTATATTATACAGTGATGGCCACAAGGGATGCACAATGTGTCTGATTTATAACTTGTAATTTATAAGCTCAAACAATAAGTTTTATAAACTATAATACAATCCAATGACTTCTTTCCATTTCTATTGATATTGAATTTTCAAATGACTTATACCCACAGTATATATGAAAACAATTTTCAAGATTTTTTAAATAAATAAAAATGAAAAGATTTTTTGAGAAACAGTGTAGAAATTACAATAAAAATTGTTTTCCTTAAATAAATTTAATAGAAATTGAAAAAGTCAATTTATATATCATACATAAAAATATGTTGAAAAACTTATTTATAGATTTAAAAATTATTTATTTAATATTTTCCAAAAGTAAAAAATTATTTTCTATAATCATTTCACTGTGGAGAGTGGTATATTATCACCTACCATCTAATAAGTGCCACACTATTGTACACAGCACAATTGTTGATTACATTAATTAATTATTTTAATACACTTTTCATGACTTCCTTATAGCCAAGAGTTTTGGCACACAATAGGCAGAGAGGGAAGGGATTCCTCAGCGAAAACAACATAAAACAACAATTTTTGCATAAAATCTGATTATGAAAAACAACAATATTATTTTCATGACTTCCTTATAGCCAAGAGTTTTGGCACACAATAGGCAGAGAGGGAAGGGATTCCTCAGCGAAAACAACATAAAACAACAATTTTTGCATAAAATCTGATTATGAAAAACAACAATATTATGAAACAATTAATTAATTAATAGAAGTGGTAAGTGGACTGTTATGAAAGCACCACCATTCACATAAGGATATAATCAATATATTTGGGATAAAAATCGTAAAATATCGTAATCATCATAAAAGTCGTGATTTTTTTGCCCATAGAATCCATGGCCTCCTTTCCTATTCCCCGCAAATCGTTAACACCGATGATTAACTCATTATTATATTATGTTTTATTATATTATTTATAATACATATTAGGGGTAATTCATTAATGTAATAGCTGTTGCAATATTGTAAACAGCGGGTACCGTGCAACAAAAATTATACAAAAATAAATACTGTATATATATTTTTTTTATGTCCCACTGTATATGGAATTAATTTTTTAAAATATTTTAAATGTTACAAAATATTTAGCTTTAAAACATTTATCCCTAGCTATAAATTATTTTTTATAATCGTTAGATTAATTAATTTATGTTTTATGAAAAATAATACAATAGTTTTAGCGATAAAAATATCATTTGTAATGGTATCTAATCTAATATTTATGGGCCAGTAATCAAGGCACCGGGAGGGGTCATCCCTGAGATATACTCATTGAAAAGTCGAGCCCTAATTTAATCGTCTATAATAGCAAATGAATCACAACTTCTATAACTATTATCACAGAATTTCTGTTTGTTTTCCACACATAATATTGTCGGACAAAAAAAGTCTTATAAAAGTCATTATCAATGCAATGGTTAGCCATTCATGTGATGTACTGGACCTGAAACCCATTATACACTGTACAGTACCGTACACTGTGTATATATATATACACTATAATTTACTTTTAATACTTATAATGTATACTCGGAAAAAATATACTGTATAATATATATAATATTTTGTTTTGCTTTGTTTATTCCCTTGACTTTTATTGTACACATCAATGAGTCGGTTGTGTTTTGTATGAGAGAAAGAGATATATTATATTCAAACATAACATTGAATTCAAGTTTACGATTGTGTGGCGAGAAATGCAAAGCCAAGTGTTTTTTAATCGCTTTAAATCGTATACTAATCTACTGTTTATTATAATAATAAGTAATATGTATGAAAGAGAGAGAGAGAGAAAATCATTTTCACACAATTGAATATATCTCTCATCACTTACTTTTATAAAGGTTTTTGTATTTTCCAAATAAAAACCCTTTTTTCAATGTTTTATAAATTATAATTGTGTTGAAAACGCTATTAAAGCTAATAGTGAGGAGAGAATGGAGAATATATTTAATTATAATTATTATTCACTTATTATTTATTTATTCAGAAGACCTCTCTCTCTCTCTCTCTCTCTCTCTCTTTCTCTCTCTCTCTCTCTACTTGATTATAACGGGGGAAAAATACCACACTTTTAGTCATACCTACAGACTATATGTTATGCAAGCGTTAAACACAAGTAAATATATATTTTACTAATATATAAATAATAAGACTTTTCATATAATAGTTTTGTTTGTATTGAAATCCTTGTATTCAATATTAAAAGGCGTTTTCGGCTCAACAGCGAAAAGAAGCAAAAATATGATTAAAATAAAACAAAAATATTTTATTTATTCAGTAATAGATTTACTGTACTTTTATAGATAATCCTCCAAAAACCCTACCCCTGAGGTAATGATCTTTTTTCTTAGCGTATATACTGTATATATACTGTAATATTGGATACAATATACTCATGGTATTAGTGATACCGGAGATATACGCCAGTAATCTCGGCTATTTATATTCACTATAACGGGTGATATAAGACAATCATACGAAATACACTTATAATGACATTATAATGATTGCGTGTGTATTACTAGAGTAGGGCGTCTCAAATGCATTTATAAATTACTATTAATACCTAATCATATATTTCTTACACTATTTCTATAGTCTACATACCATTTAAAAACAGTCGATTGTACTGAACATAATGTATATTAAGTTAATATTATCGGAATTAATAATAAATTAGACTCACAAAAAAGAGATTAACAAAAAAAACTTTGTTTTCTGTATGTAATATACTAAATGAAACTTAATGCACAGTTTGCTGGTCTGTAGTATATTAATCAGAAATGCATAATAAAAAATTTAATAATCATTTCTGATTTCTCTCTCACTGTGTACATGCCCTGAGATATGCATTTTTAGTAGTGACTGGGAGTCGATATTAACATTTAATTAACGTTTAATATATGCGAGAAGTTTATGCAATAACTAATGTATGCATTAATGTATGGAAAACTATACGAAAAAAGAAACACAAGTTTTTGCATAACATTTCCAATCCGACAGACAACTCAGTGCTTAATAAAAAATCAGTATTTAATACACAAACGGCATAATGTAGTCAAGCACTGAATAATGCAGTATTTGTTTGTCTTGTAAATTATATATAAATTAAAGTCATTTTTGAAATTCTCTATTTTATCGCTAATGTAATCTATAATTTACTATCACACAATGTACAGAATTTTCTGGATGCTTATTATTTATTAAACTCTACAGTATTAAGGTACATAATTTATCGATAGTTAAAAATATATTTATTATATAAAGTCTCTCTCTCTCTCTCTCTCATTTAATTCATATAAAAGGATCGGAATATTTAATTGCTTTTTTACGGAATATATTTATCATTATATTTATCATTCGTTTCCTATGAAAACAAATATTCTGTTCATTTAAAAAAAGAAAAACATTTCAGCGTATAATAAATGTATGGACAGAGACTTAGAGGCAATACTTATAAGTATTTATCTAGAAATCCATATGAATGGGCAATAAATATATAAGTAATTCACTTCTGGTATTACTGTTAAGCTATAGTATTATACTCCATATCGGAATCAATAACGAGTGAACGCATGAGCAAGATCAATTTTACTATGACTAACAGAATATTCTTAATATTCTTGTATTTTATCTTATATTCATTAATTGCATAGTAAGATAAGAATATTGATAAATCAATAACATATTAATAAAAATATAACCCGAGAGCTACTAAACACCAAAATTAATACAAATTACTAATTACAAATTTCCTTGCTTATAAATTACAAGTTATAAATCAGACACATTGTGCATCCCTTGTGGCCATCACTGTATAATATAGCCATTACACTACATATCTATATTAATCTATATTTATTAGCTATGATAAAAATTTGTTATTTTGTTTGTGTCTCACCTTAATGTAGGACCCATTGTCGTCGTCGTAGCCATGGTTTTGTAGGGCACTCTCGTCGCCATCGATTTTGTTGGCCTCCAGTCCTAGATACCAGACCTCCGGGTAATGGCTTACTTCTGACCTTTCGTAGGCATTCATCCTTAAGCCGTAATATCGTAGGGTTTCTGATAGAAATTCATTTAAAAAACATACAAAACACATGAATGAATGCATTATTGATTGCGAAAAATGTAATTAGAAATTGAAATACAATTAACGTACAAAAAATCGATACATATTTGTGTATCTGTCGGGGGTACCAGTGCTAAGTAGATATAATGTATAAAGACAAATCTAAATGTATTCCCTCTTTCACTAAATTATTAGTTAATTAGTCTATACTTTCGCCTACAGATATACTAATCAGATATGATCCCTGATGAATTTGAATGCCTATAGTGTGTGGTTGTGTCTAAATAGGTTTTTGTCTGCCAAACCCCCACCCCTATAGCCATTCATGATTTTAAATTAATATATTTATAATGGAGTAAAACATACGAACAGGTGTTCCGTGTAATAGCGGTACAGTTAAGGGGCTAACGATTTGTGTGACCTTTAAATGTAGTCAATATAATAGTCCGATAAGGATTTTGTTGTGTAACTAATTCATGAGCCAATAGTCATATTAATATTTCTGAACACTATATGTATAGACATACTGTATGTTTTGTTTGCAATTATATAACATATAGTTACAGTTATGGCTATAGTGTACCCCTTTATAGCTAAATGATGTGATGAATACAGTTTTAGTGTATGTTATCTAACCTATGGTTGATTACTGTACACAGAAAAGTAAATAAATATATTTATTATGATTATAATTATCAGTAAGTATTGATTATGTTTGTCACGCATTTGTCTGTACACTATAACGAGTGTTAACTTTACACAAAAAAACTTTTTCAGTAGTTTTTTGCTCAGTTGTCTGTCAACTAATACCTCATAATTTATTGTTTTAATGACTATTGAACTACAGGTTTTCGGTTGATATATATATCATATATATTAACGACTTATAACGTATGACATGAGAAGTCATTTCTCGCAAATGGGAAGCAAAACAAGAAAATTGTAATTTAAATAAATTGTTGCCATAATTTTGAATGTCTATCGCTCGTATACCAATGACTAGTTGACTGACAAATAGCTGCTTTTAAAAACAATTTGCAACTAAAAACCTATTGAATAAAAACAGTTTTCGCATAAAATATGCCATACATTATAATGTGTGTATTGAACAAACATGTCTATTATTTAAATGATTAGGAAATAAATGTAACGGAAATACAGTGCACTCAACGAGATATATACACTGCAAATGGATAACAAGAATTAGTTCCCAAATTAATTGTGACTCCAGTTCTCTGGTCACAAACCAATGCACCGGTATGTCAGACACCATGAATATATTAACTGGCATTTAATGCGCTCATTGATTGTGTATATATTTTCACGAATACCTCACAATTGTTAAATAAGCGTCTGAATTAGTATCATAAAAAAATAAATTACAATTTTATGCGATATTCATATGAACACATAAAACACAAAATACCTTTCAATAGTAATTTATTAATATGTATGGCTACTCTATGAATAGAAACAATTTATGACCATGGTTCAGTGAAAAACTATGAGCTTGCTTTCACAGAAAATAAAGTGGATTACAATGATTGAGCTAATAGTCACAAATGATGTATAGTTTTTTATTTTGAGAGATTTCCGGGAAGTTTTTGTGTGCCAAACACACATTTTCCTGACACTAATTCATACACATTTAGAAAGTCTACTATAAATCTCATAGACTTGTGGCGCCGGGAGGGGCCGCCGCAACCGGGACTCACCATTTGGGGACAGCGGGAGCTTCAGACCCAACGGATCCAAGCGGTGACTCTTATTGACAATCAGACCGTTATTCTCGCGATTATCGCCATTCGCTTCGCAACCGTTAGGCTTTCCATTGGCTCTCACGTGATGGCCATTCACGCCGTTCCGGTGCGACTCCTGTTGCTTATGGCCGTGGCTGTGGCCGTTAGCCTTGCCGTTGGTTAGGGGGTACTGGTCTCCTATGATGAGGTCCTGTTCCTCTTGGGACATGTGGTTCAACGGTATCTTTTGTACGGCTATAGTGGGAAGTGTGGACAGACCGCCACCCAGTTTGGCGTCCATGGCTATGATGCCGTTGCCTGTAATGATCATCAGTACATGAGATGAGAGGCATAGATATATATATAAAGTATAATACGAGAGATATATTAGAGGGGATGAGGATGTCATGAATATTCATGAACTGGTGATTAAGTTCATTATCAATCAAAATGTGGCCCAAAAATCTATCATTCATTTGATATGTACGCAAATTAATGGACAGTTATTATAATGTGTATATATTTTTATATATAAAATTAATTAATTTCCCCTCTATTATGTATATATATAGACTACACCTATCCGTTATAATGAACGCTATTTTGTATTTAAATATACAGTATATATACGCTAATGTATATACAAATTTGGTGCATAATATCGAGTGTGTACTGCAATATATCGTGTATATAATAGTGGTCTAAAAAACAAGTAAAATATAAATATTATATAAAATATTTTCCGCATTAAATTTAAAAATATAAAACAAAAGTTTTTTCTCTCCGAAAAACTTTTCAATCAAAATAATGATAACAATAATAATAATATAATAATAATGAACAAAAATAAAAACAAAAGATAAGGTAAACTCTTATATATATATAATATACAATTGATATGTTTTTTAGTAGATTTTGTTTTTTGGTTATTATTTTCTCTACACAAATACAAACACAACGAGAGAAATATGTGTCAAATGAATAATGAATTATAACTGATATGAGAGTGTGTAGTGTATAAGAAATGTGTATTTATTATGATATTTATAAATTATATATAAGCTATACACACCAAATACATGATTAATATTTATTAGAAAATTATGTTTTTTTCAAAGATGTATAACTCATACATTCATATAATAAGTATATTCCTCCTATTATATGAAGACATTTAGTATTCAAATAGAGATGTATAATAAATAAATGAATGATAATAAACTGTTATAATATTTAGATTTATAATACTTGGCACATAAAAAATACTCGTGTTTTTTGCTCGCAATCCTATTATCTGTGGACCCCATACAGTGAACTATATTTTAAAAAACAGTGAATTGCCAAACAAAAATCCATACTAAATATGTATTAATAAATATGAATATAAATTCTGCCTATTATAATAATTGAGCCGGCAATTATATTTTATTAGTGTAAAATATTAGCTATTTAAAAAATTAGTTATAATTTCATTGTCCCCTAAAAATAAACTTTTTTTAATATACACACTAATGACTGGTGAAAAACTTTTAAATGAGTTTAAACGGCACTCATTTAATATGGTATAAATTAAATGCCATTAAAACTCTAGCATTTAATCCGTAAATGTCTCCATAAAATTGGCATTAAAACTAAATTTATAGCAATTATATAAATATTAATATAAATTATATGATTATATATATCAAGAAAATAAAATTTTTAAACGGGTTTACCGTTTGGCTGACGGGACAGTCGATGTGTGAGTGAGGCTAACGTACCGCTAGTCTTAGCGGCGGTCAGTTGTAACTGTGTGGCCAAAGCGCAGCCTAATTTCGACAAACCACTGGAGCTGCCATTACTGCTACCACTGCCCCCACTGTCCGGCTTATTATGGCTGTGATTGTGTCCGTTAATCGCTGTGGGATTCATATTTGCGGCCTATGAATGGAAATGGATGTTATATTAGTATACAATTATCGTGTGTAGTTTGTATGATAGAAATAGGGGGATAGGGTTATTTTTGTGAGGGATATATGCCGTGTACCTCAGCAAACAAATTGCTTAAATTAAATGCTTTAAGTTTATAGTCTCTGAGTTGGTTTAATTTATTTTGTTTGCACACACCTAATGCGGGTTAACAGTAATTAATGTCGTTTAGGTCCGGTGGGACACACAGGATATACACCGGTATACTGTAGTAAATAATAAATATTTTATTGTCCTAAACTACTATTAATTATATACAGTACAAAAGGGAAAATATGTGACAATTTGTCACTTTTTATGATGTATTGTATTATACATTTTTTGGATTTATTTTATATAAGTTTCGATTTTATTTAATATAATATATTATATAATACTGTACTGTACTGTGGATAACACAAATCATTTTTATTATTTATAATATTATTTTACGGGTGACACAAAAATGTGACAGACAAAAAACCACAGTTTTTGGTTAAATGGGAATTAAAACACAATTATTGTGTCAAAAAAGTGACAAAAACTGCAAATTATGACCAATTATTAAAAATATTATTAATAAAATTATGTTTAATATCAGTGTATTTAACCACCACCTTGGTGATACATGTCCACATAAAAATACAAACACACACACAATGTGCAAATAAATAATTTATATATCTCGCGATTACTTATTATTTATGATAAATAAACGGTCGTCGGGTATGAGCTACTGGTGCTCTCGCACATACATAATACCGGTATTCATGTGTAAAAAAGGGTTAATTGCTTTTTACTCGGAGCCAAAAACCTAATACTTAAAAAACAACTGTTCATCGCATTCACGACACAAACACTTCTCGTTTGAAATAAGTTTTTTGAAATCAATTTTTTTTAAACTGTTTATTTCGGCGCAGAAAAAGAGTTCACTGTTTAAGAAATTATTAGAGTATTACATAATGAGAGAGAGAGAGAGAGAGAGAGAGAGAGAAGTATGTCTTTTTTGTTTAGTTTAAAAGTTTTAATATTATAATTTTTTTCATGAGACTTTTAACAGTAATTTTCAAGCATTTAGTTTGTCTGCAGTTTGTTATAAAAGTTATATTATATACTCATATATTAAGATAATTATTGTATTAAACAATGAAGTTTTTGTATTTTATTATGTATAGTGAACTCAATTGAAAATGGTTTTAAATGTGAATTAATATGTTTATTTAAATTGCTTATTGATAGTAATTTTTTAAATTCATTGAATATAATGCATGCGTTCATATAATACTGTAGACAATTTATTTTCAATTTCTATGAAATACAAAAAATTACTTTTTATTTATACGACTAGTAATTAATAAATTACTATAATAAGAAAATATTATGAAATGTTCTCATAATAAATTTAATCTAAAATAAATTAAAATTTAATTTATGATAACAATGTGATGAAATACCATATTTTCTATAATACTATATTTAGTCAAAAAAATAAATTCTTGAATATATAGTAAATTAATAGTAAATTTATTATAATACATGACCGAAAATTTGTTTTGACTACAAAATGCACGTAAAAATAAAAAGAGAGAGAAATTGTTTTATTCATTAAATAGAAAATATTTTAATGATTTTTTGTTTGTTATAAGTTATAACATACTATATAAGAAAAATTTCATAATTAAAATAAAAATTTTAATTTTTGTTACTATTATATTAAATACCAAAAAATAAAACACAGTTAACCCTCGCTATAAAGTATACAAACTATTAATATACTAAAATATTCTATACCTAAGATAATATGTAAACTAAAAATACTGTATATTTTAAAATATGTTAATGTATAAATATTTTCAAAATTGTTCATAGCAACATTATAGCAATATCTATAACTCAAGGCAAAAATATTTAATTTAAAATAATAAATATTAGAGATATTTACAAAAATAAAAATAAAATTCTTCATACTTTCCGATCGTTCAAAGCATACAAATACTTGGGAGTCGTCTGACTATAAGTAACATTAGTTATCGCAGTCATAGTCGTTATTATTTATATTATTATTATACATATGGTGTAGAGTTTTTTGATTATTATAATATAATAAAAAGTTTTTAATTCACGTATCAAATTTTAAAATCCAAATATATAAATAAAATTTTTGAAATTCAGTATAACATCCCCAGTCTATTGTCTATGTGTTGTATTATATAACTTATATAAACAGCAAAAATAGTTTTTGGTTGTCAAATGTATTTCTCATATAAACAATTGAATCAAATGGAAAACGCTTTGAATGCAAAGCAATAATAAGTATTATTTTCGATGAGATGTTTGTATGAAATATAACTTTTTTCTCTCATATATTATATAACAAAAATTTCTCACAAGATTTTGCACAACAATAATCGCAAAATATTTAACAAACTATTTGTCGGAAAAAAATATTATATATATATTTAACATTTAATATATTTAAACACTTTATTAACGTAAATGTCGGGAATCGTATGCATGTATTGAACGCACAAATGAACTGCAATTCATAAACACAACAATAACAACATATATATAACAAAAATATATTGTAATTATTATTGAAAGTTTTTTAAACTCAACATCAAAAAATTGAGCCAAACTTTTCTATACACATAAATTTATTTCTAGTGAATGAGGGAAGAGTTGACTGCGAACTGGGAGCAAAAAAGTGGATTCAAAACACTTTTTACTCAATTTTCTCTCTCAACCACCAAATCGTGAGTAGAAAAACCAGCTCTCGATTCATTCACTGGGATGTATGGACTCTATATGTATGTATGGACTCTACATATGTATGTATGAGAGAGAGATTGATCAAAACACCCGGAGCTCCCATCAACCTCTTCAAAGAGTGCATACACTTTTCATCCGTACACACACTACACCCGAGCACTGGTAGCGCAGACTGACTGAGTGACTGACTTCTAGCTGCGAGTTGAGGGCACCCGTAAGCCTGCCATACGAGCCCTGCGCACTCGACAACCAGAATATCCATACCTATTATATTAGCAATACATTTGAATTGTGTGTGAATAGCACTGTATTCATACATAGAAATTGTATTATATGCACCAACTAATATACTAAATGGGGGTTATTTAACCAGAACCTACACGTGTGTGTTTAGCTACCCCTCCGGTGCTGTTCACCACCACTCGACTGCCACTAGTCTGACGCCCCCTTCAGGTCAGACACACCGAGAGTTTGTAGTTTTTCTCCGTAACAGAAAAGACTCCCTTTTTAATGGCATATAAAACATAACTTATTATATAAAAGGATTTTTTAAAAATAAAATTTCTTCAGAATTTAAGCCGATTTCGAGGTTTTAAAACAAATCGAAAATATTATTTAAAAATGAAAAATAATTTTGTTTTTAAAAAGGTTTGACTATAATCTAATAGATATCAGCAAATAGTAACTAGTGTAGTATGCCATTACTTGTATACCTAATTAGTGGCTATTAAATACAGAATATTAGTATTTTATTGACTGTTTGTATGTTTGGTAACAGTGGGGTACATAAACCTTATCATTGCAAGTATTTGCACAGGTATTCTGGCATATATTAGGTATCTCTCACTTATATGCCAAACGTTGAAATCAATAGCAAATGAATAAATGAATCATATTTTTTCAACGGAATATATGCCATTAACTCATGCCATTTATCACGACAATAGCCGTATATAATCAACATATAATTGTTTGTAAATCAATAGATTTCAACATAATATACATTTTAAGTTATTGTATTCAAAATCGATTGCATTTGCACTTTATATTAATTTTCTAGCGAAACATAATTATTTTGTTTTACATTTTGAATGTGAATTAATAGTGACAACTCATTTATATGGGGTATTATGTTTTAAGACTTAAGTACCGCACTCACGGACCCAATGGCTTATGTTTTTGACGTATAAATAGAGTGTAGTTTTGTAATAGAGTAGGAAATCCGCTTATTTTGTGTACACTTTTCTAAAACATACTTTCGAGAGAGAGAGAGAGAGAGAGAGAGAGAGAGAGAGACTACAAATTTATGACTTTTTTGTTGTATAATATTAATTATTTATTTATACAATCTTTTTAAAGTAAAATCACTTTTTTCTAACAAACAGTCTCTCTCTCTCTCTCTCTCTCTCTCAACTACTAAATATGTGTTGAGTTGTGAAGCTTTAAAGGAAAATTAGGTTTTTTAGGGCACAAACACTTTTGAACAGTCAATACAAAAGTTGTGTACAAAGTGTGTTACGACTGACTAGAAGGGGAACTGGAGATGTGTCGGTTCCAGTGGTGGAGCGCCCGTATTGGCAATGGCCTCAAAATACATATATACATACATAGAGTTTTGGCTAATGTTTTAAATGATTATTAAATAAAGTGACTTTTTACAGTAAAAGACCTTTTTAATTTTTATTTGATTTTTATGCAACATTAAATGTATATACTTTTGATACACAGACTACTTGTGCGCATCAGCTCCGGTATGTGTGCCTAAAGTAAAACATACAGTGTGTGTGTTTTGTAACTACACTGTAATACTGGTGGCCAACCATTAAGGACAAGTAGTTTGTCGTCATTCTCCATACAAATCGATACGAAAAATACTGTGTTTTTCAATACATATCTCGATGACTAGTCTGTGTGCTCTCAAAAAGCAAATAATTATTTTACAGACTGTTTGCTATCAATATGAATGCTTCAAGATGGTTTATTATTTGTATATCAAATAAATTTACATATCATTATAAATTAAATTAAATTCGTGTTGTTTTTATAATGATATTAATATTGAAATTCTGAGAAATTTGTTTCGAAACAAATATTTTTCAAGAATATTCTGTATTCTCACTAAGCTTGCTATTTATTATGATTCTGTAGTAATAATTGTAATAAACATTAATTCTGGTAATATATTCACATTAATGTGAATTCAATTGACATTAATATCAATAATATTTATGACAAATATTTTGAATATTTACCTAATTCACAAAATATTCATAATGAATTTAAATAGCTTTAAGATACATAATTAATGTTTTTCATTAATGTATTAAAAGCATATTAAATAATTAGAAAAATAACAACATTTTATTGCATTTTAAATCTTGTTTTATTTAATCTGATAAAAAATTGAGACATAAAAATCATAAAATTAATAATATTTGGTGTATATGTAATATAATCATGTCTTAAAGGTCTTTTGGCATGAGTTTAGGTGTATTTTATGGGAGCAGTCAATCATCACTTATAAAAATCGAGAGAGAGAGAGAGAGCGAGAGAGCGAGAGAGCGAGAGAGAGAGTGATTACGAAAAATCAAAATCAAAAATAACAATATTTAATGACATTTTAAAAGTAAGCTTAGTTTCAAGACTGATGTTGTTATTATTAAATGCATTTTCCATGTATTCGGTGATATTTGGTGTTCATAGGGGTATAAATAAAATACAACACTCAGGATAGTATGCCTAAAAGCTACCAGCCCCCCTACATAACAAACTACTAATTTAAAATTCCAAAATAAATAATATTTATATCAAAATCACAAAACTACTCAATTATAATCAGATACACCTTAATTGAGATGTGAATATATATATTTGCCAATACTATTGCCGTTGAGCTCCCAGTGCTCCTGCATATCAAATGTGGTATTTTGTACATAAATGGGGGGAAAATGTTTCACTTTATAAGTCATTTCAAGTACGAGCGAAAAGACAAAAATGCTTCGTTTCGTTATGAGTTTGCCTTGAATTTCAATGTAAAACCTAAAAACTTAAGACACTTTTTAATATAATTCAACGCTTTTATTATATCAATCATTTTGTAATTAAAGTAATAGTTGTTGTTTTTGTTTAGATTTTGGATTTATTTCACGCCATTCTATACTTAGATATCAATTATATTTATAAAACTTATTTTTTTGCTAACTTTTAACTCATTTAATGTATTTAAAAGCGTATTTTGTATGTTATAAAAATTTGTTCATTATATATAATCCCATTGTGTTATAGAAGTGTTAAAAGCATTTTATTAATGAACGATAAGTTTTTGATAAGTAATCAAAAAGTCTTTTTTGTTAGTTTTCAAACTTCTCATGCATTTCCGAGGTTTTAGTCATTGATTTTCAAACAGATTTTTTATCGCAAAATTTTCTTGATTTTTATTTTTCAACAGCGATTATAATTAGGCTTAAAATTGTGTGATTCTTATAAGTAAAATCTGGAAATGATTTTTCTAAGAATTAAATTTCTATTTTTGTTTGGTTTTAAAATATTAATATATTTTCTTGAATTATGATTTCAGTTGTAATTCTAAGGATTTTTTATCATTAAAAGTATTTATAATATTATTCATTAAATTATAATAATAATAATCAAATCATTAGGATTTGCCTCAGAGAGAGAGAGAGAGAGAGAGAGAGAGAGAGAGAGAGTCATAATATTTATAATTAAAATTTATGCAAAATATTAGGTAATGTTGTATTGAAATCTAATATAATTTCAAAAGTTTTCTATAAAACTGTGTTGAGGTTTTGGCTTTGATTACATGTATTTTAAATTTAACATTGTCCATAATTATTTTAGTCATAATTAAATTCATAAACATTATTCTCGCAAACTTTTTATTTGTATTTTTTAAAACGAAAATTATAATTGTGTTGAAAATGAAGTCATAAATTGAAGCCGTAATTGAATGGCAAAAAAAACTTTTGTTTTGTTTTACAAGTTCTTGGCTTAATTTCATGGGAAAATGTATATTCAATTAAACAAAATAAATAATAAAAACCTTTTTATTGTAAAATTTGCAATTTTCAAAATCAACGATTACGAAAATAATCATATTCAATTAACTATTTAGAAATATATTATAGTTAAACAAATTATAGTGTACCGTAATATACAGTTTAATATACCAATTATTAATATAAATATTTTATATAAAGCTATTAAATATAAATTCAAAACAAACAATACAATTGTTTAATGTATACAAGTTTAAATGATTTAAACTTCACTTTTTATAATTAGACATTTCCATTAAATATGAAACAGGAAAATATAGTAAAATATATTTTTCCCATTCATCCACTGAATAGTAAATTTCGAAAACTATAATACAATTCATTCATTAATTGATTGAATTGTGTTTCGTATGAATGAATGGAAAGTTTGTACTGAAAAGAAACTTTTATTGAATTTTCCAATCAATCAATAAAACTCAATGTATTGTATGTTTAAAAAAAAGTATTACGAGAAACCGAAATAGAAAATCAATTTTGTCCGATATATACAAATGTAATTTACATTCAATATATGGGTAGACATGCCTTAACTCAATATTCTACTCGCAATGTTTTAGTACAGATAAACTCGATATCGGTTAAAGTGAACTGGTCACTTTAACGTATGTAGAAGTAAAATCGATACGAATCAATAAATTACTTTAAATAAGTAATACTGTATAATATAATATACTTTGTAGTGTGTAATATAATTACAAAACTTATTTAAATTCGTAAAACATTTTACCGGTACTATATATGTTGATATTTTGAAATTATTTTATTATCATAATTAACACTTGTTTCCCGAACGGAAATATATATTAATTGATATATTTATCGCAAACCATAATCAAACAAACATGTAGTAAAGCCAAACATGATCTTAAAAATATGTTATAACATGATTGGAGAGGGAGAGAGAGAGAGAGAGAGAGAGCTAAGAGTGAGCACTGGTATCATAAAGAAAATATATGTTTCCCTTTAATAAGAACTTGTTTTGTGTTTTGTTGGTTTGGTTTTTGGATTTAACGCTTCAATTGATTTATTAGACGAAAGGCTAATAACAAAAATTTTTTTTCGTACTCCCGGTGACCACTCTATCTATCATTCATTAGACAGTAAGGGAAGGCCTATCGTAGCGGGGAATGGATGGTTTAATTGATATATATATTTTTTATGCCCATATTTACCCGAAAAAAATGAGACAAGAATTGATGTATCAATTGATACCGTAATCTATATTATAATATGAGAGCCAAACACACAAATCATACGTAAAAATAAGCGATCATTTGGTTTGATAAACACTACAGGAAATCAATGTCAGCAATAAGTGGCACTTATTATGTATGCCTTTCTCGATCCCTATTAATACATAGATTTCTATATAAATCCGTTTATAATGAAGTATTTTTCTCTCTCTCTCAATAATATACACAGCGTATGGATGTGACAGATATAGCGATAGAGCACTTGTAGTCCAAACTTTCAATAGTGAATGTATTTGTATCGCATAAACAAATTGAGAAATTTGTTAATAATTTTCACAGACTACATAAAAATGAGTTAAAACTTTTTATATTACATTATATTCATACTACTAAATAATACGTGTGACTGACATCGAGGGGACCGTTAGTCTGGCAAATAATCCCAGAGATATCAAGTGTTTTTGAGTAAATAAATTAATAATTAAAAATGTTTTTGTCAACAATAAATATTTATGCATCGATATTTACAAATATGTTCTAAAACAATGTATTAAAATTATTATTTATAAATAGTACACTCTATTAATTCACCATAAACGGTAGATAATTAATCAAAAAAAATAATATGATTGATATTATGAGCTACGGAATAAAATTATATTCTAGTTAATTATAAACAATGTACACTTTACAGGGCATTTATCCTAATATACGGGTCATTGGCATAATAACTGTGAATATAAATTCATAGTGTTTATTATTAAATTCATACACTATACACACATTAATTCAATAATAATAAACACTTAAATAAAAATAATTTTCCAACAAAATACCTGTTTACTGTTATTATATGCATTTGTATCCATAATATTGCTATTATTAGTCAATAAGTTAATAGCTTGATACTTTATGTTACTATTGCTATAGTATTGACACTTTTCCAGTCGTTTTTGTTTGCATTGACAGCGTTGGTCTATAAGACTGGGACTACCGGTCCACTCATCTGCCGGATCATCCGGCACTTTACCCGTCACCACGAAATGCTGTCCATCGCACTGGCAGTCCGGCAAATGGCAGCGCCGGGAGTGGAAAAATTGCGGCACTTGGAGGTGAGGGCTGACGTGAAGTACTTCCAGCGCCGGGCTTAGCGTGTTGGACGGGTAGCACGATATGGAAAACCACATTATGTTTATTAACTTTAAACACAACTAATTTAACAAATTTTATATATACTTAAAACACTTTATATTAAACGTATTATTACTTCGAGTAATATTGTAATTATTTTTAAGTCGATTATAATTATGGATAAAATGTAATCTCAAAAGTTTGAGTGTAATTTGAAAATTAATATTTAAAAAAATTATTAAAATACAAACACAAAAATAATTGTAAATTATAATTTCACTAATTATAACAAATGTCGGATTAATATCCAAATAATTAAAATATTATTATCCGAGTAATATACAGTAGTAATATAAGCTACAAAATAAAAATAAACTTTTCAAGTAAAACACTTGTTTTTGGGGAAATATACAACTATTTCACGTAATATTTATTTTTCACAAATCACTTATGATTTGAAAACTAATGTGTGACTGAAATATATGTGTCAATCACGGCTGGAAACCATATGATGAGTGAACACTACTGGTATAGAAAGCTATTAAAGTTATTGTTTTATGTGTCAAACGCATTATGACAGCTACCTGTGCGCTCCCATTGCCTGTCTGCACAATACCGACCCCCCATCTCCCTGGCCTAGCAGTAGAGCACTGTTACGCAAACTTAGATATCTGGTTGATTGACACATAGATTATAGACTATATTATATTAAACACCATTATATATCAAAATATAATGATTGCCGTGATTTATTGCCTTTTAATTATAAGTGTTTATCAGTTTAAAAGCTATTAATATTGTAAATGCATTTAATTAATAGCCTATTTAAAAATTTAGCATGATGATTGTTTAATATATTCCAGTGAGAGACAAATAAATACAATTTAAATTAAGATTTAAAATTATTTTTAAACCAAAAATATTTGCAATATAACTTTCCATGTTTTTAATGAGAATAAACTCCTAGATAATAATCGCAACGTTAATAAACAAGTAACAAAAATAGTATTAATTAATGTATACAATAGGTTGTGTGAATATTTTCTCAATAATCAGATTATAATAAATATTTGATAAATAAAATTTCTTATTATTATTTTTTGCTCTTATTTAATAAATATTAATAAATAACATATTTTTACATCATTATATCGCTATACATTTTTATAATTGCATTTATAACGCAAATATCGACGACTTTATTATCTAATTAACTGATTATCGCATTTATTAATAGTCAGTATATCATGTAATCTCTTATCTAATCATTTGGACGCAAATCTATTGAACCGATTCACGGCATAAGTTATCTATAAATATATTTATGATAATAAAAAATATCTGCACATAATTACGGCAAAAACTAATTGTATTTCCAATTCCCTGACATTAATCTTAATATTATATTCAGGAGTTTGTGCTGAAAATGCGAGTAAAAATAGGCACTTGAAAAATGATTGATACATAAGTATAAACATAATTTTATATCCATTTCTCTCTCACCTTTCCATTGATTGCGTAGATATTGGCATAAAAATTGTGTATAAAAAATGCGAAATTAAATCAAAGACTTATTTTTATTTCTCGCAAACTTTAACCTAAAAGTGATTTTTCTACTCAATAGACGATTTAAATAGAAATCTAATTTATATGACTTTAAGGCATTTTGCGCGTAACTTAGAGATTATATTTATGGCCAAAAATATAGATTTATTTTCAATAATACTTCGCATTATTATTATAGAAAAATGAAAATCAATTACTATTTACAAGTTTTGACAGAAAAGTGTTTATACGGTATATATTTCAGGTTTATAAATAGGTTTTTTTGGTTATTATAGGGGGGAGGGAGAGAGAGAGAGAGTTATTTGATAAGTGAGCGGACATAACAAGAATATAAAATGATGTAAAAAATTGATTTAATTTTAAAATCATAAAAATCAGATATAATTTATATAATGAAGTGCTATACACGACATATATAACTTAAAATATAATATTATAGTATAAGTGAGTGTATAATACATTGATTGCGAAAAATCGCGAGAATGCGTTCCCACACAACCATATCCTGTATGTCATCAATAAAATTCCTAACAATAACTGGCCATAAGTGCTAATGGTGCTCATGATATACACGCTCATATAGTGAACAATGTCTGTATACCATGGCACAATAGCTAGTATATCATAGTACATGTCATGGGATGGCCAGTGGGTGTGATTTACTCGTCCGTTACTTCAGACTTTTTCTACTCGTTTGACATTTGAAACAAAATTCCCTAAAGTTTTTACAATGGGTTTAAAAATGGGAATACTCTATGAAAATACCTACTTTATGTATAATTGCATGTATAGTTTCCAAAAATATCTAGCTTTAACAAAACTAATATTCAATAAATCAGTTAATAAGCAACACATAGAATAGGGTAAATTATCCATTATTATGCAGTGCAATAAATTAAATATATCCCTGGTATTTAGATATTTATATTAGACTATATTTATTTGGCATTCATGTGACTATTATAAGCACACTAGCATTATATATTATATAATAAGTGCCTTTAATTCCCTATCATTTGCTATTAAACATACCATAAGTACTCTCTATTTGTGTACACATTGAATACAGTAATCAAGAATATTCACGAATATATATCATTTGATTTACCGTTTATGTATCATTTGTATGCAAAAGTAGTTTATGAGGGCTTATACAGTATATAAGGAGTATATGGTGTGCACGGAAATGGTGTTTATGGCTTATGGAGTGCTTTATATGCTATTATAGCACAAGATTTTCATATATTAATTGAGTCGCGAAAATGAAAACGAAAGTCAATTTAATATATGATAAGAGAGTGTTTGAAATGCAATTTCAGAGGGGAATTGATTTTTCCAATTGAATGTCGCATCCATAAGCCATAAGAGCCGGGTATTTGGTAGGCATACGAGCTAAAAGTGATGCCAAAACATAGGGGAATGACAGGTCTACTCATCCCTACAAATAAACAGTTTATGATTTGTTGCGAAACAGTCGGGTGTCTGACAAACACATTATATGATACATAAGAGACGGGATCTCTATCTTAATAAACAAGTTATATATTTTTTATATTAAATATTTTTGTGCCCTTAATATGCACTCAAAAGCACTTTTGAACACATTTCGGCGTCAATACTATATGTCATATACCACTCGTGTGTATATAACACGATATTATACAGTCTTAGCCCTCGGATCCCTTTCCCTCGTAAATGATTTGTAACAAGCTTTTAGTGGATATAAAATTTAAGTCTACTATAAATGTCACCGGGATTACCGTACAGTGTTGGGTGTGAAGGGATAGCCATACATTTGAATACTGTATTTCCGGGACTAACCTCCAAAAATAATTACTATAATGAATAGACGCCTAAAACCAGTGTATAAGTTGTGTGTATATTTTTTTCCCCGGTGACATTAGTGAACAAATAGTACATTATATGTGAGTTTAAAAAATTAATTCAAAATTATATGTTTGAAAGTGTGATATAAAACCATTGAGTCGTATACACACACCATATGAATAGTGTTTATTGATGAGCATAAATGAGTCCACAAAATAACACCCCCACAGACACTACTGGCCCTGTATTTTGGCATTAAATTGCTTTTGCAAATGTGTTATAATGAAAAAATTGTCACATTTATCACTATTAAAGTAATTCCTGTATTAGGTCTCTCTCTCTCTCTCTCTCTCTCTCTCTCTCTCTCAAACTTAATCCCATTTTCCAAATACAATGAATAGTCTCTCTCTCTCTCTCTCTCTCTCTCTCCGATAGTAAGTGTGAACTGATTTACTTTTTTTATATTAAAGTATTATTTTTCACACTTTTTTCATACGACATAACACTTTGATTGACATTAAAAAAGTTTTAAAATCCTTATATAAAATTATATTTATAGTTTTTGTATATTAGTTTAAGTATACAACATATTTATTGTGTAAAAAAATATTTTTGTTGTATTTATTTGTGTAGCATATGAAATATATGTATTGCGATTAATCATGTAATATATAAAAATAAATCATTAATTACTTACACTGGTACAGAAAAATCATACAACATATACGTAAAATAAAATAAAATAATAAATTGTTTATTTGTGTGGACCCAAAAAAAATTTTAATAAAAAAATATGTAAAAATGTTTTCATAAATTATATATTAGGAAACCCTTGTAGTTATCGATGATGTATGCGCTCACTTATGAATTAACTTTTTTATAAACAAAAATAAATAAAATGCACAAAAAAGTTATCGAAAAAACTATATAAATATTAAGAAATTCCCAAAATATTTGCTTAAATCCTTAATTCAATATAAAAATAGATTTCAAAAAATATTTTAGTGATTGACTCCGATATACAGAGAGATAGCATAGCCTTGCAGTGATTGCAAAGGCATTGAAATTCTTATATAAATATAAAAATACAATAAAAAAAATTTATATTCTCTACTGAGATGTGAAACTTTTCAATCTATTATTAAACAAAACAAACGCTATTTATAACTCAATTTAATTTTAATACATGAAAAACTTATTGAACGAAAAAAATAATTATAACTTATAAACACAAATATAATAAATATGTATTAAACTAAGCGATCGATAGGTATTATTCGCAATTATGTGTGAAATATAAGACATATACTATATATATATAATACAAATTCATATTATAATAATTGATAACTGAATGATAAATGTGTGAAAATAAATCATAATAATATTTTTTATATCATTTCATAGTAGACCCATATTTTTGTTTAAGAGGGGGGAAAGGGAGCGCAAAAATTGCAAATAACTTATAACTATATACTTATTACACAAGAATTATGTAATTTCTATAACAAAACACACTTTGATAACGACGTTGACAGACATCTCCAGCGGTAAGTATAGGGTATTAGAGATGTATAACCGAAAAGATGTATTGAAATGCCATTTATTTATATAAACTAAACGCTATAATTGTATCGCTATTTCTCGTGAGTCCAACCACTGC